GCTGCATTACCCCCCAGTCCCACCTTAGGGGATGCTTTTACCAGCACCCGTACAACGTGTGTCTCCACCATTGTGATTTTTTAATTTTCCAATGCTTTCGCACCCCTTTTATTTTACCAACTCCAATGGCAATGCTCATGCCACTTCCGGCTCCGCTCTTATTTCATCTCCACTTCCTCAATATTCATCATTTGTTGTCGTAATTCTCCGAAATATTTCATTATTCAATGAGAATTATAAATCTCATTGTAGGAATTTACTGATTTAAGTAATTCGATTTTTCCATTTTTTAATGGATCTTTAAATTTTTTATAATAATCTGGTATATTTAATAATTTTTTATATTTATTTTTTTTATATTTACCACACAAAACTACTACATATTACATATGTATATCACATATGTAATTGTTAGCATATGGTTTTGTCGGGCGGTTATTTCTTTTTGATTATACAGTTATTCGAGAATAACGAAATATGATAACATATAGATTGCGCCATTCTAAAATTATTTACCCAACCGATGCTTATCACTGCCCACATCACGTATTCCGATAACCCAGATTCGTCGATAACAATCGGACATTTGATTGAAGTCATTCGAGTTTCACAATTCCACAATTAATTCTATAGAATTAATTACACCCAAAAATTCCAGCTATTAAATCTAAAAAACGGGGAAATTAAAAGTGGCACTGATAACAGTCAGCGGTATCTTATGGATCCTCCATAGAAAAATTTTAAAGTTATTCAAAAATGGCGTCGGCCGACATGCAGATTGGCTGAATTTGAAGCGAGGTATTTGATACCCCTATCGGGGCGTTCCGCGACTGCGCGCCCCAACCCTTCATCCCTCCACCCCTCGCAGCCCCATAACAGTAAAAAAATCTTTTGATTATTAATATTTTATTGGTCGACACGACCTCAGGTAGCCCTGCATTACCATAATGGCGGATCACCCGAAATATTTCCACCGTGAAAAATGAGACCTCAGATAAAAATCGCCATCGAATTGAAATAAACTACGTCGTAATTCTAATCTCTCGATATCGAAGTGACGGCTTAAAGGTCGGTAACTTTAATATTTTGGTGACAAGAGCACCCGACGAACATAATTAATATTAAATTAATAAATTAGATAGCGATAAGAAAACGGAGATATCGTTTTACAGATAAATTCATTGAAAGACTTGGCAACCGCCGACATCCGCTCTCCCTCATCCAAATAATTCAAGTCTCTCTCTCCGATTGAATAAATACCTATCAATCAAACTCATTACCCTGTCATAAATTGACGTCGGCACGATCCAACCATTAGCATAACCAGTGGTTCCCGCATTCGACATGATTACCGATATATCGATTCAATTCATTCACCCATGAATATTCAGTTATTCTATTTTTAGTGTACCCAATGCAGGCCAAATTACAAGGTCAAATCAATCGAAAATCTCATGAATGATAAACGAAATGTTGAATTAATAGGAGAATATAATTTTATTGAAATAATTTAATCGATTTAATGAGTATGAGTTACACGAAAAATCAAAATAAATTTCGATATACAAAGCGGTTGATTGGAAAATTTGAAAGGTGTTGCAATGGAGCGATAAAAAATCGAGGGGTCTGAGTGGTTCGGTAAACTTCTCCTCTCTGTCCTAAACACGATTCAATTTGACCATCGTCCACCCTTGGGTCCACCTTCAAAGAAGAATCCGTATGGGCACCCTCTGGTCTGGCCGAGGCCTATGGCTCCACTATTAATCTTATATCGAACGTTTTATCCACCTTACCCCTTGGACTAGCTCAACCTCATCCTCATCCTCATCCCCATCCCCATCCCCATCCCCATCCAACATTTCCAGTCAAGAAAGAATTTTCAATTTCCCAACTCCAAGCCCCGGAGATTAAACAAAAATTCAAACAGCTTTTTTTCCACATGAAATAATGAGTTAATCGCGATAAGATGAAAGGCGAGTTCTTTTTTTTTTCTCTCCCCTTTTTCTTTGAGAGATGGTTCTGAATTGCAAAGAATTGTTGGACTGTCCAGTTGGTGCCTTGGAATAAGTAATGCAGAGTACCATTATGGTGGAAACGAGGGGTCAAGCAATACCCGTGGGGGCCGTTACAGTGAAATACTCGGTGAATGCAAGGTGGCTGGAGTCTGTCCAGCCTCTTCATCAAGTCAAACCCCACAGAATGGAAACGGACCTGGTGTGTAGGTAAATCGTTGTTATCTGGACAGTGATAAACCCTGGTGAATGGAGTATCTGGGTAACGGAGTTGGAAATAGTGGAAATGCAAACCGAGGGTTTCTACCGGTTAGGGTGATTTCGAATGAGAGTGAAAAGCCCATACAAGGGATGAAGAACACCAATGGATTCATTGTATGGGTTTCGTCTCAGTCCAATGGAAAAGAGAGAATGAAAAATTATTGCCCTTGATGGTCTTTTTCTTATGCCGGTGAGAATAATTTTTTATTGTCACAGACGTAGATGAGGAAATCAATCCTGAAATCATTAAATTATCGCGGTATTGTTGACATTTTTTTTCCTAACTCGAAAATAACTCACGACCTCAACTACTTAAATTCCTCTCTCATAAAAAACAAATACTTCATTCCTCAAATCCATTTATTACCCAAATATATGACTCATTGGTTACAGATGAAAAAAATTTCGGAAAAACCGGAAAATTTTCTCAATTTTCCCCATTTCGTCGGGATTTCTCGTAAAAAATTATATAATTCCAGGGAAAGAGAATATTTACCGCAGTGTAGGGGGTTAGCTGAATAAAAAGTGTAGGTGGAGGGGGTGGGAGGGAAAGGGGAAGGATGGGTGGAAGGGGGAGGGAGGGGAAGGAGGGGGAATTGGGGGCATGCAAACACCACGAGATTAAAGGAACCGCTGGTCCGTGTTGTATCCGTGCGGTGCATGTTAGGGAGATCCATTGCCCGTGGGCTTTTTGTCGAACCCCTCGTCCATCTCTCTCACCCAAAGGAAATTAACAACGCCGATATTTCCCGATGAGAAAAATAAAGAGAGAATTCCTCATCCGATTTAAAACCGATGCCACGTGACCATCGAATCAACTGCATCCGGCGACATATTTCCGTTGATCAATTTATATTGATTATACGCATTAAAAATTTTTTGATACGTGAAAAATCGAGATGAATACGGAGGAAAACACGAGAGGGCACTGACCATATCACCAATGATATTGATTAGCCGACGCCCTTAGTTAGCGCCACAGCTTTCTTTCTTTTTATCTTTTCCTTTTCCTTTTCCTTTTCCCTTTCCTTTTCCTCACCACCAGCAACTCCACTCTCGATGCAGACCGACTCCTCCTTTCCCCCATCATTTCTCCCCCTCTCCACCCATTTACTTAGCCCCTAACAGAAGATCTCCGCAAGTTTCTCCATCCTAAGAAATAATTAATCACTTAACATTTGTGAAAAAAAATAAAGGAGAACTTGATTTTATTCAGCTCGAAAAATACGAAGAGAGAAAAAGAAAAACTTCATCACCGTGAAATTTCCTATTTCTCGAAAAGCTCGATAACTATAAATTATAACCGAAGAGTCATTCGGTCGATGGTTCTTACTCCCCTATGTAATTAGACACTGCAGTGCCTGGAATAATATTCACAAGGGGGTTGGGGTCATTGTTCTCCGAAAAATTAAGGGAAACGAGGGAAAATGCCCGGGGAAAATGCTGGCTGTACACACACGAGCGAAATCCAAGGGGAATCTCACTGCTCTGATGCGAGGGTGGGTCGTTTTGCTAATTACACATGACGGTTACTCCGAGGGGGAGAGAAACCATTTCGTTCGTCTCTCAGTCCGATTCATTCGCCTACACACATATTCACTCACTATCAGTATTGTAACATAAGGTCTACACAAAGTGACTCGCCCACCCCATCTTATTACGTTACGTCTTTCGTATTTCGGTTATAATTTATCTCGATGTATTTCCAGCCACTTCTCTCATTTACGGCAATACGTCGATGTTGTTATACTTCGGGTAATTATTCTCCGCGAAGGAAGTTCTAATATATTTATAAATATGACTAGAGGATTATTTAGAAAAAATCGAATCGCTCCAGTAATTTATCAGATATTTGGAACATATTGTTTATATTTACGATTAAGGATCTCTAAACATCTCAGGATCATGAAGACGAACATTTTTTTCCCGAAAACTATCCAATATAATTTATTCTTATAAAATTTGAGATGAGATGAATGATTTCAGTCAATTTATTATTCAATTTTAAAAAATGACCGCAGAATAGTTAGTCATAATTAAAAATTATTAATCAATGAAATTAAATGAATTTTAAGTTGAGTTAATTATCTCTTTCACTCGTCAGGAAAAAGGCGGTAATTTTAGTGGACATGATGATGTGTTCTCTTCATACTTTTTCAAAAATTTCAAATTTTCGAATTTCAGCGAATACCTCCTCGATTTTCATGCACCCCTGATATTTTTTTCAAAAATTTTAAATTTTCGAATTTCAGCGAATACCTCCGCGATTTTCATGTTCTTCTGATACTTTTTCTAAAATTTCGAAATTTCGAATTTCAGCGAATACCTCCTCGATTTTCATGCACCCCTGATATTTTTTTCAAAAATTTCAAATTTTCGAATTTCAGCGAATACCTCCTTAATTTTCATGTTCTCCTGATATTTTTTCAAAAATTTCGAATTTCAACGAATACCTCCTCGATTTCCATGCATCCCTGATTATTTACGAAAATTTCCAATTTTCGAGTTTCAACGAATACCTCCTCGATTTTCATGCACCCCTGATATTTTTTCAAAAATTTCAAATTTTCGAATTTCAGTGAATCCCGATTTTCCTCCACCGATTTTCCTGCACCCCTGATATTTTTTCAAAAATTTCGAATTTCAAATTCCTTCGAGGTTGAAGGATGGGAATTTTTATTTTAAAAATTCGTCGAGTGTTACTTACGATTATTTATTTTTTTTCAGGGAAAGTATGGAGAGGCGATGGTGAGGTCGCGTGGCGGACTGAGCAATCATTCAAGAGAACGTCACCACACAATGTCTGCCCTACGACGGGTGCGTCAGGTGGCAATCCTGCGACACATCCGCACCTGTCACCGCCCTCCGCTGCTCCGGTCACTCTACCCGATCATCGCAGTACTAGTCTCCAAGCGAAACATACGATTTCTCCAGGTAAATAGTCTTTAATACTCAATTCCCCTTCGTCTTTCAATTTCCAATGAAACGCATACCTGACAACATCTTTATAATATTGAGAGATCAAGATCAAGATCATAATCTTTATAATAATCTTTAGCTTGTCGTGTATATATTAAAAATAAATAATAAAAATGGGGGAGGATACAGCAAAATGGAGGGAAATGATGAGAATTAATTACAAAAATTCCACGGAATCACTATTTTATTTTAATTAATTTTTCTCCTAGATTCAAATACCCCGAAATTTTTATATATAAAATGGCCTTACTTCCGCAAAAACTGGAAGTATAAAAATTTCCCCCACCTCTTTTTATCTGCTCATCATTCAAAAACGTGTGCACCATGCGAAAAAGCGTACAAGTACAATTTCAGTTTTAAAAAACGATATTATAAAAAAAGTCTTTTCTTCTAATAAAATCCGTTAGATAATTTTTCATCGAATCCGCAGAATGAATGCGCAACACACGTGCGACGTTTCAACTTTTTCAATAAACCCCTTGACACATCGTTAAATTGACGAATGAATTGTTCTAAAATTCCCTGACCACTATCTCCCCTGCAATAAATTCTTCAACCCCTGAGATTTTCCAACCTCCACGTAGAAAAGCACCGCGTGAGTGGCACTCCAAGGGTCGTCGGCGTAAGACGTTTTTTCAAGTGGAGGCTCTTTAAATAATGCAATAACCCTGATGTCATTTGCCGGACAATAGTCTCCCTCATTTTATCCAAAATGGAGAGCCATGAAGCTTTCCCAGGCGCCCCCAGATGCATTTACTTTTTTTCCCCCAAGCTCACCTACTCCACCTCTCTTCCACCACTTCCACATCTATTTGTACGAGTGAATATATGCACAAGTACTTGAAGACGGTATCGATCCAAGAGCCACACCGGAAGCAGAGGTTAGCAATCGAAAAAGGCGGAAGAGCCAGTGGAAGCTGCACGAGTCTTGGCAACAGGGAAAACCCACAGAGTTCCTTTTCGTTTGCTTAAATAAACATTGCCTGGACAATGGGCTGGGAGTTGGGGGGAGTGTGTGGCAACGATGTAACCATGGGTTTATATGAGAGAGGGAATAAAAGCTTTGGTAGAAAAAAGAGAGAGTCGAGCACTATGCGAGGATGTTTAATGCATCTTTCAACATTTCCATGTCAAACATCGCTTTGACTGGGAATTTAAAACCAAGGCTGTAAGTGGTTCTATCTTCACGAACATCCCTCTGAATTCAAGGCCAAAAGAAAACCTGTCATTTGGATGCATTGAAATAATTTTTAAATACGGAATTATAATTTATTGGAGAGAACTTTTATCGTTGCTTGATAGAAATGGATTTTTTCTATTTTCTTATAGATATTCTGGACTTCTGACTTATTTACCTGATAGCCGATCCCCCAGCACTGACCATGTGTTTATTCGGTATATCAATAAGGGACGAAGCCAACGAATGGAGCAATTCTCTCGGGGCTACATTCTCAAGTCGTGCGAGTACTATTCCCGTATGGTTTTTCATAGTGATCCTGTACCAGACGATAACACATGTGTGTCACCCTCTTAAAGATTTTTTGTCCCTCTTCTAGAGAATACTGAAAGGGTCACTTGAAATATGAAGAGAGAATATTATCCAATGTCCTTCAGCCCCACCCCACGTGGTCACTCTCCACCCCTTTGTCATCCCGGAAATCATTGATTCAGATATTTTATTGTAGGAAAAAAAAAAATCAAAAATAATGGCTTATGTACTTGGGACGATAAAAAAACGTCGGGTGTTACCCTGATTTTCATTGACAGACAACGTGTCGATGGGTTCCCTATCAACTTTGGTACAGTGTCCAGCCGATGGGGAAAAGGGGACAGAGTACATGACACTTGGCCGGTGTTCGCGAAGGGGTGACTTTTTTTTTTTTTTTTTGAAATATTGACTACATAGATTTCAACTATTATTGCCGAGTGTAAAACACGGCGACATTTGGCGCTAAATCGATCAGGGGAATACTGGTATGTGCCGGGTGTTGAGTAAAATAAATATGTAGCCTCATCCGAAAAAACAGTCTACCAAATCAAGAATGACGAATCGAATTCATGAATATTGTTACAGATATCAGAAATATTTTTTTAAGAGCACTTTTTGTAGAGAATTTTCATTCCATCCAAGTATTGTCCCCCAAGACCATGAGGAATGATAAGACACTGGACTAATTTAATGCCTCACGACAATCGAAATATCTGGCAACTCGATCTTTTATGGCTTTAGAATTGAATTGTGATTTATCCGCGGTATATTCAGTGGTTGTAACCCCAGCCAATAGTCAGCCAGAGATAAAAAATAATTCAAATTAAACGAGTAAAGATCTCCGGTTATTTATCGAAAGCGCAAAAGCCCAACTGATGACTCACAGCAAATAAATCTCCATGAATTAATCGATATTACGGGGAGTTGACCGGTGGGAATCGCTCGTGCGCCAACGAGTTATTTTTGAGATGATAATTTCAGATAGGGGGAATGGTGCTGGATATACGCTGAAGCACCATCGGCTTCTCCGTCGGCTTTTGCTCAGCCTGGAAATGCCGGGCGTGTAGGCAAATTGAGGTGAGATTGGAGGTCAGCTTTCTGCCAACCGTTCGACCATCCAGACTGTTCAGTATTTAGCGGGTGGGATAAAAGCAGACCTTCCGATCAACATGATTTACCGTCTACCATTAACCGTATCATCCATTGAATTTCCATTATTTTTACTTTACCAACACGATAAATCCATTTTTCCCCATCACCTATTTTTCTCTGGCAATGATTTCCGGTGGTAATATGAAATTATTCTGATTTTCTGACATTTTTTTATCACAATCCCCAAAAATCAGATGAAGATGGTGATGAAGATGGAGGCGAAGATGAAGATGAAAGGAAGAATGAATTAATGTTTAGAAGCTGTGACGTTGGATTGGGGAATAGAGTGGGGAAAAGAGTGGGGAAACCACCCGGTAGATTCGCGCGAGTGTTCGCGTAATAGCATGGATCACTGGTGGTACCAGCTAACGTGATTATTATAAAGTCAATACGTTGCTAACTCATCAACGGACTCCGCCCTCTAACAGCCCGGTAATATGCACCGGGCAAGAAGTCAGTTATAGCGTTTGCGCGAAAGACCTCTTCTGATACGTAACGAACCTACACTCGTGATCTTGGTGCTGCACTGGTGCATCACGTGTATTCATCATGGTTCGTTTATGTTCCAATGCACACTTTTACCCACAGAGTGTGTGGAACACCGTGGAGATAGGGGATAGGGTAATGCGGAAAAATTCAAGATAAAAAGGGAGATTCCAAGTATCTGTTTTGACCCCCTAGACAGCCTCCTGTAACGCCTTATTAACGTCACGAGGGAGATCAACGAGGGGAATTTTTTTATACATGACCGTGAGTCAAGGTTGTTATCTCACGTATTAAGGCTCTTCAGGTACAGGTAGGTTATTAGAATATTGCGAAATTCTGCAACTGTTTCAGGATTTTTCATTTGGCATGCGTTGTTAAATTAAATTAACCGTTAAATTAAATTAGCCGAATTTTTGGTTCCGAATGGAAGCATTGCAATCGTTCAATTCTAAATCTGTCATTTTTCAGATAAAAATATATTATAAATAAATAAATTTCAGGGTTGAGAGTCTTCATATAACTCTTTAATTGAAGATTTTATTCACTCGATGAAAATATCCTGGAAGAGGAAATTATTTGTCCTTTTCTTAATAAACGATTAATTCGAAATTAATAGGCCCAATTAATTCCCAAATTAAAAAAAAAACTTTGAAAATTGGCCCTAATCGAATCGTGTTGTTACTTTTAAACTGACTTTTTCAATATTAATTCAAATGAATAATTAACAAAACTGACAATGTCCCATAAAATCGTAATCAACATGAATTCCACTCGTTTTTCCTCAATTCCCATGGCGTCCCCGGAGCAATAAACAATTCTGCTCTCCTTGCCTCACTTAAAAAAATCAAAGGTATTGATGAAGATGTTGAGTCGGTGGTTCACTCTTCTCCGGATACCCTGGTGATGTTGCGCGTGCGTTTCTCCTCTATTTTTTTTTTGATGTTCAGGGTGAGAGGTTAAGCGGCGTGATTGAGTCTTGCTTACGAGGAGCTGCCCCACCGTAGCCGGTTCACTCAATGTATACATACCCAGCAGACGTTTCGTCGAGAGGGAGATAAACCATAATGCAATTCGAGGTATAATACTTGACTTTAAATTGAAAAGATTGCCCCGAGGGGGCCAATGCCGAGGAGGAGGCATCTCCCTGGTGAATCTGCTGGGAGGCACCATGACGTCTTTCAGATTGAGACGCTCACTTAGGCATCGGCCAGATTATTTTTCACTGATGTAACAGTGTCAAATGCATGATTGCAAGAGTAAGGCTACGACGTACATTTAATTGGCTGGCTAGAGTGGGAGGGAGTGGGTGGTGGCGGGGGGGA